GGTAGCAAAGTTTCCTATGTTAGATTCCTATGTTCATATTCAGATGGGGTATATCTTTAATGAGGAAAGTGAACAAAATGGCTCAAGCTTCGGTATGTCTGAAAACAGGTAACTAACAATCAGAAAAAAATGCCCTGAATTAATCTGAGTATATTGAAAATAGTTAAAAGCCTAGCAGAAGTTATTCGTACGTCCTTAGCAATTTGTTTTGTCTGCTTTTTGTCATACAGAGTACTTGGGCACATTGTTAATTGTGCCTATAGCGTAGCCCAAGTTTTTTTTTTTTTTTTAATATAACACTGCTGGCATCTCTGCAAAATCAAGTACATGGATGTAATTTTAAAATTATATTTACTGCTGTTGAAAGGTGATTATTAGACCTGTGGTCTTCTGTCTGCTAAACAAGTGTTGTTTAAGCAGCAGAAGTTCCCATGCCCTTTGCTCTTGAATGTGTAGGAGCTCAGTCCTGCTTTGGTAGAGTGTGGTGGGGCAGGAGAGGGGTTTTGTGTGTAGTGCCTGATTTTTCACTTGTTTCTCCACCAAACCTGCTGAGTGGGTATCTGTTCATTGGTGGGTGACTGGTTGTTTTGACACAGGTTCTTCACTAGAAGTTAGAGATCTTCCCACATGGTCTGCACTCTTGTTTGCAGTGGGAAGGTGGCCTTTTGCCAGTTACAGCTTTCAGTCCTTATCTCTAAACAGTTCCTCAAGCTCTTGATACAAACAGGATTTTTTTTTATGGGGTGGTTTCGTTTTGGGTTTTTTTTTTGGATCCAAGACTGGTCTAGAAGCAGTGGAGTGAGCACAGTCTGTCTCCCAGATTTTGTAAGCCACCCAAGTCCCCTTTTAAATATAGTTATTAGTTACAGTTTGTATTTTGTAAATATTTTCTTTGCAGTGATTTATGGCTCTTAACCTCCTCATTATGATTCACAGCATTTTGGACCGCCTGCTTCCTGGGAGAGAGGACGGGGGGTTGTTTTTTTGCTTTTCTATAACTTGGACCTGAAGCAAGTGGGAGATGGAAACAGAATGTGCTGAGTATTAATAGAGTCTGTGTTGGCCTGTAGCATTGCTGTTTGTCTGGCTCGTCGGGGAGGTAGCCCTCTGTCTGGCCATGCAGATGGAGATCTGCTTGGAGCTCCGGTGGCACTGGGGCCCCTGCCTCCCTCCCACCGAGGAGAAATCCTCAGCAATTGCTTGTTCACCAGCTGCTTTAGGACAGAAGAGCATAGTCAAGAAGCGGGAAGGTGGTTGTAGAGCTGCCCCTAAACCTTCCAGAACAGCCTCGTGTTGCCTGGTGTCATTCGCCCTTTTTACGTGCAAATGTGCACGTGTCCACACTTCTTCTTGCAGTTGCCTCTTCTCGCTTGGGGTTTCCTTACTGCAGAGGGGTGTAAGGGAGGAGCTGGCACAGGGGCACAGGCAGCAAGTAGTTAAAAGCGAAGCACATATTGCGCATGTCTAAAGCTCTGATGCATTTCTCTGTGACCTTGAGCAGAGCTCAGAGCTTGCATGTGCAGGCGTCAGTGACATTATCACCTGCATAAGCGTATGTTGCACAGACTATGCTGAGGAGGTAATGTGGATCCAATACTGTTTCTAAACGCAGGATCTTTGCTGCAGCATGTCTCTGTGTTGCCTGATGACAGGCACTGGGACCTGGAGAACATGTATTAGCTCCCTTCCGAGCTGAACTGCTATCTGCAGCAGAGGGAGAGGGCCGGTGGTTCTCTGTCGAAGGGTTGATGTGAGGCCAGAAGGAAGGAGCTGAAACTTGGTGTACAGAGGGAGTCAGGATGGGGAGTGGGCACTCAGTGAAATGTGGGCTTTTATCACCTGGCTTGGTCAGGGTAGTGCTGTTACCAGTCTGCATTATGTGCTGTCTGAGAACAGGCTCCAGGCCCTTCCTTTCATCTCCTTCCTAATGAATCAAGACAAGGAGTAACTATAAAAGGACGGGGGGGGGGGGGGGGGGGGAAACAAGGCAAGATCTGAGGAGACTTTCTTTCATTTATGTTGTAGCTGAATGTGTGGCCCTAGACAAATGTATTGAGATAATGTTACAGTGGCTGAAAGTTCAAATCTTACCTTAGGGCCATGGATGGTAGAAATGAGGGAGCTACAGAATCTAGAGAGAAAAGATATTTAATGTTAAACTACTGCTGAAGAACAGAATATGTGAGAGCCTGGAAAGCATTTGGAGACTCTTAGTGTAGTCAGAAAGGTAAGAGTGGACTGAGATTCCCTGTTCTTACTATTGTTTCTTCTCTTTGAAGCCTTTCCCTTATTGTACATCTCTCACGTTCTGCAAAATGACTCTTGTGAGGCAGCAGCACTCAGCCATATGCAGGAACAGCTGTGAGTGGTTTTGAGCAGGCCACTGTACATGATACATTGCACCCTTGGTAAGAAAGGAGTTCTGCCCTCTGCCTGTGAACAGACAGGTGGGAGAGGAGTGCAAATGACCTCCCGGCTTCCTCCCCTGTGGAAATGGCAGATCCAGCCCTGTGCAACCTATATGTGAACTGAAAGACTAAAATATTTGTGCCGTCACAGTTCAGAATCTGTGCCTTTCCTCATTCACACTGCAGAAGATGCACGTTTGTGTGTTTGAGGATGCACCTGTGTGCATGGGTGTTTGCTTACTTGCCAGCTCCATGCAGAGACACAGAAAGCATGCAATTTGGCAAATTGCAGTATCAGGGCTCTAAAATGGCTTGTAGAGATCCATTTTAGCAGGGGTGTTGATGATTTTGAGGAGTTATTTTGGATCACTTACTTGCAGACATTGTGTGATGTGGTGATGGTCTACCCTGTGTTTGGTACTTCTTGGACAGATTTGCCCCGAGGAGCAAAGGACTCTGATGGAGTCATAAAAATAAAACCACCAAATAGCATAGTGTGATTTAATTGTAAGCCAGCTGCATTGATTCTTCCCCTAGGGTGCACTCTGTGGATGTTTGGAGATAGATTTGGTCATAGGAGTGAGTATAGGAGAGGAGGAGGAACTCAGGGAAGCAATATATGATACAATCAAAGGGAAGTTTCAGAGGTTGTTCTTGAAAATTTGATATTTGGGGAATGGATGAGTCTTAGTCAAATAAAAATGTTTTATCCTGTTAGGCTACTCTAGAGAGTTGCATGGCTCCGGGGAGCAGAGATACTTGCAGGGCAGTATCTCCTTTCTTCCTATCACAGCTTAATTTATATTAATCAGATCAAATATTTTTTGTGCTGCCTGTGGAGTCCTACTAAAATAAAATGGAAAGCTGCCACTGGTTTGTTCAGCATGACAAGACCTCAGTGCTTATTGTTTGCTTGCTCCTGTTAGTGCTTTATAACCAATAAATAAGTTCAAGGTCATGTCTGTAAGAGACATTTGTGGCCAGAAGAAGCTCTCTTAATGTTGCCAGTTTAGTTCATCTGTGGAGAGATGTTTCTTTGCAAATATTCGTGATGTGTCGTATATTGAATGATGCACAGAGCAGTCTAGCAAGTTGTCAGTGGTTGGGGAGTCAGCGTAGGCAACTCCCCTGTGACTTCTTTCCTCTTTGGTACACAGATTGTGCATTTAAAATTGAGGGGGAGTGGGGGCAGAAGGGGAAGAGGGGAAGGCCCCCAAAGAATAAAAAAACCTCCTACTCTTAAATCTTTAGTTTTAAGGCCTGTGTGTGTTCTTGAAGGTGCCTAAAAAAGGCTAAGTCTAGCATCTAGCAATTACACAGTCCTTGCCTTTTCGTAGAACTTTTCACTTGATGGGTTAAAGAAGTCAGGCTGGCATCTAAAGAAATGAAATGACACTTGAAAGTGCATCACACAGGTGGTCAAAGCATGACTTCGAGGAAGCTGAGGCAAGCAGCAGGAGATGGAGTGGGTGGGTAGGTGCTTTTTGAATACATTGGTCTGTCAATGCTTGCCTTGGAAAGGGACAGAGCAATAAAACCAGTCAAACTGTAGTCTTTGTTCTGTAGCTCTGAGTTTCTGAGGTAATTTTTCTGACTAAAGTGCAAAAAATACCATTTTCTTGTCAAGCCATTTTGCAAAGGGGCCCTTCCTTTATATTTAGTGCTGTGCTCAAATTTTACCACTTTTTGACAAGTGACTGAGGTTCTCTTTCTTTCCTCTCCCCTGCCTGTCGTCTCTGTGGGGGCATTAGGTCGTTCCTCTGGCACATTGGCCTCCCTTATTCCTCTGCCTTCTTGCTGTACTTTATCTGTGCCTAAGTACGCCTGGCCCCCACCCTTGACCTGGCTTCACAGTACCAGTCAGTGCGTGGAAACACTGCAACAAATTCCCTTGTTTTTGGTGTGGAATTGGTAGCAGACAGTAGCACTTGGAATTTTGATAAATCCTGCAGTGGTAATGACTGTTTCCTGTCCCTGGGCTGACTTTTAAATGTACGAGAAAAGTTAATCAAAGACATCCGTAAGCTGTTCATATATGGATTTTACCATTTAATTATAGATCTTTTGGGGTAATGTTTCTCTGAAGGGAGCTTGACAGAGCAGATGCCGTTTTGCCTGGGGATGCATTTCTGGTATGGGCCCGGTGAAGAGCTGACACTTCAGCTGTGGGATTTTGATGATTGCATGAACATCCTGCCACATGAGATTAGAGTGGCGGTACTACCTCCCAGCTTCAGGATATGAAAGATCCGCCTCTTCATTAGAGCTTTCATATGGCAGCAGCTGAAGGGAGGAAGAACAAGGGAAAAGAGAGAAGCAATTTAAGAGGACCAAAGGCAAATCTACTAAACCAAAAGGTGATCTGAGAGGAGGAGGGAGGTTGAGATCTCATTACTGTTTACTCATGGAAAGGGAGGGGAAGAACAACAGATCAATTGTTAAGCATTACTGGCTTTATCAAAATAGTTGTCAAGTGCTCCGATACCGCAATCGCAAGTATAGTACTAATACCTGAAAAGAGATAGACAAAGTACACGAAAGGAATTTGTGTGGTTTCTATTCATGCACACACTTTTGTCTTTCTGATTTCAGCAGACAGAAGGAGGGGCACAGACAGATGGACAGCAATCACAGACACAGAGCAGTGAGAATACCGAGAGCAAATCCACTCCAAAACGACTTCATGTGTCTAACATTCCCTTCCGCTTTCGAGATCCTGACCTTCGGCAGATGTTTGGGGTAAGTTACCAGCACCTTTTAAGACATGGCAGATTCTTCTTCCCCACAGATGGGACATGTGGTGCTATTGTTTTCATTGTGAAGGAAAAGCCCTTTCCCCTCAATTCAGTCAGTACACTGTAAAATATTTACAGGACTAGGACAATTGGTAGTGTTTACCGCAGCTGCTAGATGCATACAAAAGCTTATAACTGTGTTGTTCATATCAATATGTTGGGCGTAACCTAACAATTGGTTTTGGGGGAAAAAAAAAACCACCCAAACTTCACCTTATTTCCCAGTAAAGGCTAGGATTAAACATTGACTTAATATATCCCTTGCAAAGCACTGTTTTTTCAGTTGCTTAGAAACTTGTTGAAATATTTGTCTTTCCTCATGATCCACTTCTGTGGTGAAAAATTGCTGTAAGGAATTGGCCGACTAGCTGTTGCACATGGAAAAGCTAGTTCAAGTCGGATGGTATTTTGCATTGTCTATGATATACATTCTGTTTCTTTTGACCAAATAGTTTGTCTTCCTTAATCTTTGTATGCTATTCATCATTCTCGTTTTATAAGCTCTTTGAGGAAGAGTTTGTTCACATGAGTACTGGTGGTGACTCATTCTATGTGGACACATTGATAAATGAGTTAGATGCTTCATGACCTAACCTTCAAGTGAAGTTCTCTATATATCATCATCAGGAATCCTTGACATGTTGATAAGATGGTAAAATCCTTGGTTGATGTCACCTTTTAAAGTCTTCAGAAATATTTCTTATTATTTACAAAGCTAACAGACTTGAAATGTTGCTGCCTGTTTAAGATGCAGTGCAAAGGACGCAGGTCAGGAAAGACCAAAGCTAAGCTTCCTCTTATCACCTTAGCCTTTGAGTGTGTACCTTGGTCCTAACTGCATAGCCAGCTGCTCCTGCAAAATCTTGCAGTGTTCCTGTTTCAATTGTTGCATCTCTTGAGCCATCTCTGTGGGTGTGTATGCATGCACATAGACACACACTCTCACAGGCAGGTAGTGTTACAGTATGTAAATGTGTCAAATTCATGGACTTCAAGCTTAGATTGATATAAATGAGAGAAGAATTGGGCTTACCTGTTCATAGGTTGGACAGTACAGAGTGTACAGAAATGTTAAAAATGTCACTGATGGTCTTCAGCAAGAGTCCGAGTTGCTATATATTGTGAGAGATCTTTGCTCTTTGTTCTTGAAGCTTTTAGTGTCCATAAGAAGCTATTTTGTGGATGAGACCAAATGGAGAGGAGTGATCAAAATGCAGGAGTGCAAGGCTGCTATTGAGAGGGACCTGGCCAGGCTGGAGAAATGGGCTTATAGGAATCTTAAGATGCTCACCAAGAGGGAGTTTTCAAGCCTTTCATCTGAGATGGAATAACCCCTGCAGCAATACAGTCTGGGGCTCTGTTTTCTAGGAAGATGCTCTGCAGTAAAAGATTTGGGGGTCCTGATGGACAGCAAGTCGGACACAAGCAGCAGTGTGTCCTCACGGCAGAGGCAGCCCACCATATCCTGGGCTGTGTTAGGGAGCGTAGCCAGCCGGCCCAGGGAAGTGATCCACCCTCTCTTCAGCACTTGCTGGACTGCACGTGGAATACTGGGTCCAATTTGGGCTCTCCAGGGTAAGAAGTGTACTTCATCTAGGTGAAATACTGGAGCAAGCGCAGTGGGCACCACTAAGACGGTCAGGGGGCTGGAGAACATGGCATGTGAGCAGAGCCTGAGATCCGGGCCTTTTCAGCTTGGAGAAGAAAAGGCAGGGGGCCGGGCGGACAGGTGGATATTTTTGAGGGTACAGGAAAGATGTAGCCAGATTCTTTTTCGTTGTGTATAATGATGAGTTGAGAAACAACAAACACGAGTTGGAACGTGGGGAATTGCAATTAGATATTGGGAAATTTTTGTGATTACTGTGAGGGTGGTTAAATAGTGGAACATGTGGTCCAGAGAGGTTGTGGAAACCTCCATCCTTGACTGGCTTGACTAGACACAGCCTGGCCAGCCAGATCTCATTAGATCTGCTTTTGGTAGGGGTTGTACTAAATGACCCGTGGAGTTAGGTCCCAGACAGAATTATGGTTCTGTGATTCTCTTGCAAGCGGCCTGGTTTTGCTTCCGTGTTGTTCATACATTAGATTGTCACACTCTTGACATCTGTGGGAATGTTTTCAGGGTGAGACTCATCTCCTGGCAATCTGTGATTGCCGAATCCTCTCAGTTGCCTGTTATGCTTTTGTGTTTTTTAGCTTGCTTTTTGCTGTTGCAGGGCTGTACGATAGGCAGTTCCGTCCGGTTTGGATAAACCGGTTGCTGAAATCACAGCCAGTTCTTGGACCACCTGCTACAGTCTGTATTTAGCACGTCCTGCTCTGTGCTACTGCTGCTCCCTTCTCCTGGGAGCTACATGGCTTGCATAAATTGTTCCAAGTTGTTGCTGCCCCTTCCCTTGGGACAGGTGCTTGGCTTGATGACCGGGCCCTTTCACACTTGTTCACCTTGATGCTGTTCCTCCTTGTGTGGGGGATGGGGATGAGGTGGAAATGACAAGAACATCCCTGTCCTGGTGACACTTAACTCTGCTTTGCAGTTTGGGAGACCCAGGTAATTGAATGAACTGCTGTCCTGAAAAGTGACTTGTAGAAAATGCAGCCTAATTGCTTGCATTAAGGTTTCCTGCCCTTTGGGGGCCCATATGGTGCCACTTGTTGTACATAGAAATGGGGAAATATGCTGTATATGTTGGGTTTGGGTGTTCCCCAAGTCATTTGTTGTTTGTTTATTTTTTCTCTAAACATCATCTCAAGTTCCAGTGGAGTGATGCGATTTTAACTGGGGCAAATGGTAAATCCCCTATAAAACCTTTTGCTAGTTCACCTGGCCCTGTGTCTGCTGAGAGGTATGCCTATCAGAAGAGCATTCATCTTTTGGGGCACCAAAAAAAAAAAAAAAAAACAAACAAACCAAAACTAAAAACAAAAAAAGTGCCATTTTCCTGTAATAGAGACCTTTACTACTTTGCCAAGGTGTAATAATCAGTGGTTCTTGCACATCTCTCTCTTTCTCTCAGTGCTGCTTCTCATCATGCTCAGAGCCTCAAGCAGGAGAGTTTCTCTCTGAATCCTCCCTGCTCCTATTTCTTTTTCAAGATCGGGATGCTTTCCCTTGGGTGACTCACTGAAACCAATCCTTTCTCCTACAGGGGACACATAGTTGTCTGAATCTTCAGCTGTGGCTATCTTGTAACCCCCATCTTCTCCCTTTCCCTTCTGTGTGTCAGGTCACATCTCCTCAACGTCATATCTGAGAGACTCAAAATCCTAGCCTGGAGTGATTTTTCCCAAGCTACTGTACAAAGAGAGGAATTGGATAGACAGCAAAGCCATGGAAGAAGAAATAAATGTGATGGTAGGGAGGGAGTAAAGTAGTCCCCTGAGGATGGAACAGCATGTGAGAGGTCAGCCCAGTCCCGGGGCACAAAACATTAGCTAATGCTTTTGTCCAGACTTGAGTAGAGGTGGACTTCAGACGTGTTGTCTCATGTGTGGTTAAATGGATATTACATAACACTTTCCAAACCTTCACCATTTGTGAAAGCTGCAGACATAAGTATTTCCTGACAAATTCAAGTTATTCAGGTTTCAAACCATCTCTCACCTATTGTTTGTAACAGGTCCCCGAGATATCCTCAGAAATGGAACAAACATTTCCTTCTGTATATGCTTCTTCTAGGGAGACAAATAAAATAGGCTGCTTAAAACAGGTAATATTTACTTGGCATTTCATGATGCCAATAAAAAGACCTCCAGAAAGCTTCTAGAAGGAACAGGTCATTTTTTAATGCACGCAGTTCTGCACCCACTGTGGAATAAATCAATAGTTGACCTTGTTCTAGCAGATAAAGAAGAGTTAATAGCTGACCTGAAATCCCACGGTTGCCTAGGTACCAGTGATTGTTATTTGTCTGTATTTACTTTGTCCAAACAGAATATGGCATCAGGCAGTAACGTAAGGAGCTTTAGAAGAGTCTTTTTTTAGAGTTTAAACAATTGGCAGGATAACTGCCCAGAAAGGTACCTTTTAAAAGGGAAGTGTTAATGGAAGCTGTAAAGTATTCAACAAAATCATGCTGATGGCCAAAAAGGCATGATTCCAGAGTCATTGAAACTGTGTTAATAAAACACAAAGCATTCTGCATATAGGGATGCGAGGATGAAGAGGAGGAGGAAGTAAATGACAGTGAATATAATTGTAAACGTAAGCAGGTGAGAAAGGAAATGTGCTAATCACAGAGATGTAAGTAATGTGGATTCAGAGAAGGTGTCAATTTTTTACATGCAAACAGAAAAGATCTCGGTGTAGGTCCAATATAAAATTAGGAAGTAGTTCTGTGTTTTGGGGAAAAAAAGAAACAAAACAAAACAAAGCACAAAAAATCAAACAGAAAACCCAGCAAAAAACCTCAGCTTGCTGTGTTTATGATGTAACAGGGGGTATTTGTACCATATCTAGTTTTGTATGTAATGTATAACAAAGGAAGATGTGACAGTGCTCGCTAATAATTAAAAAAACGCAGCTCTAGGTAAGGTAAATCCAAAGATAATAGCGAAAGCAAGGAGCTCTTTTATTCATTAATGTTAATTTTTAGCCAATTATTGTAAGCTAGGGGAGTTGCAGAAGGCTTGAATGCTGCCCACCAGGATTCACTACTGATAAAATTGAGAGAGATGACCCGAAGAGCTACGAACTAATTACCCGTATATTGGTCCAAGATAAAAATAATTTTGGAACGTTTTAAAAAACATTTGAATCTAAAGAGATGGTTTAATAGCTATTCAGTGTGACTTTGTATAAGGTAGTATACATCTTTTCAGACAAATACTGTCTATTTTGACAAGGTTGTACAAAGCAGTACTGATATAGCTGAGCTTTTCTCAACTATTTGAATTCATCCAAGTGACCAGTTTTGATTTTTAAGAAAAAGAATATTTATC